GGTTCCTTCCCATGGGTGCTTCTCAAAAGGGCAGATCAAAGCATGGCTGTTTGCCTATTCCAGATGAGGTATTCAAGAGAACACACAAGTTGGAGGCCTTTATGAGCCAATCTCCTAGTGACACACTGTCACTTTTGCTGTATGCTATTGGTTACACAAAATACGAGGGGACTACACAAGGGTACTAGCCATGTATTTTATGTTCTATATTCTGATGCTTTGACATCTTGGGCCTTGTGAACCCTGGAGGGATGGGCCCACCCATAGTCAGCCAATTCTTAGAGACGATAAACAACTCACCCTGGCGTGTGCCTTGCTAATGCAAACTAACCAATCCGGAACCGCTGTTCAGGTCACCTCCTCTATCAGGCGCTCATGCTCTGGGCCATTATCCTCCTTCCTAAATCATCCCTAGGGCCAGGTACTAGACACCTAGGAAAAGCCTCTACACACAAGGGCCTGCTGAAATTATTCAAGCTAGCCAATCACAAGTCTGTTCATCATTTCCTTTCCATGTAAACCACAATAAAGAGTCCTGCTCACATTTCACTGGGTGCCATGTCTCATGCCTGTAATCCCAGCATTTTGGGAGGCCCAGGTGGGTGGATCACCTGGAGTCAGAAGTTTGAGACCAGCATGGCCAACATGGTGAAACACCAACTCTACTAAAAATACACAAAATTAGCCTGGCGTGGTGGCAGGCACCTGTAATCCCAGCTACTAGGGAGGCTGAGGCAGAATAATTGCTTGAACCTGGGAGGCGGAGGTTGCAGTGAGCTGAGATCGTGCCATTGCACTCCAGCCTGGGCACAGAGCAAGACTGCATCTCAGAAACAACAACAAAAAATATTCCTGCTTGTATTTCCCTTCACTCTCTCCACCTCTGGACCAGCTCAACTCTGGTGCTTGCTTGTATAGCCCCGTGGAACATGTCATGCCTCCTCTTTCTAGGGATTTGTAAATATAATAAAATTTTTCTTTTAACACAGTCATGTCAACTTCTGTATATTTTACCATACCTGATTAAAACAGATCTTGGGGACCTTTCAAACAAATGAATCATTACAAGAAAGTAGAAATTACTGGGTGCCATTTTGGGGGTTGGATGCTACATGACACCTTCTGATCCGCAATGACTCTTGTCCCTTCACCACATAAAAAACACTCAAATCCTCCCAAGGGCCCAAATGCCTTATTCCACCACAGCATTTTGTTAAAGTTGACAATATGTAATCACCATCAGGACCAAATATAAAGGAAGCTCCATGGATGTATTTTCTTAATTAGAGATTCTCAATTCCAGTTTCTCTCAACCTGTGAAACTAAGGGGACAAGCAATGGTTACTCTACAAACCTAGCATACAACGTTGGTCCTGGTAAGAGATATCGCAAGAAACACTCTTGTTCCACAGATGGGAAGGGATTACTCATCCATTGCAATTCTGAAGTCCACCCGGGGAAATTTAGAAATTTCTTTGGTTAAATTGCAAAATCTGGGAATAATTAGCTTAATTAGTCTTGGTTCCTTGGCTCTGACCTCTGGACTTTTGGTGCCACTGTCTGAATCATCCTTTCTTCTTATGAAATGTGGAACATATTTGCAGCTTAGCAGGTTTCTTAGCTTGTTTTCTGCTAATAGAATTTTGATTTTTTCCATTTTTTTCAGTCACTGTGTCTTTCAGTTCAACATAGTGATCTCTCTCTCTTTCTGTGTGTGTGTGTGTGTTTGTGTGTATCTATATGTGTGTATGTGCACTTTGTGTGTATGTATACATGTACACTTATATACATAAATGAACTTTGTGGTGCTTCTATGAATCTTATTGAATTCCACTATATTAGAGATAAAAACACATCCTTAAGTATTTTAGATATAAGTCTTTCCCAACCTTGGGTTTCTATGAGATGGCTCAGAGATGGCACACTTAAGATTCCTAAAAGCCTTGTTGTTGATAGAGGATGTAGAGCACTTTTAAACTCTTTTGGGAGTCTTTTGTGTGAATATATTCTGAGATACCACTTTAGATCTTTCTGAGGTTTTTCTATTTTTTTTTTAAGATTTTATAGTCAAATCCTAGACTTCATCTTTAAATCATGTATTCACAGCAATGCCATAGATTTGATCATCCTTGGAAACCACTTCTTAATTTTGTCAACTTTTGCCATTATGGGAGGCTAAGAGATTTCAAAGCCATCAAATCCTGGATCTTTCAATATTAATAATTTAGTTTGTTTCTTGCCTGTCTCATCTTACTCTAATCTTCAAGGCAAAACCAGGTGGAAGTTTAAACATTTCACTTAGAAAATATCTTTTGTTAGATAACACAGAATGTTAGGCACATTTTGTACCTTTCAAATTACTATAGGCAATAGCATTGCTAAACACCTGCCCTGCATAACAAGAATATTCTTTTCTACAACTTCCAATAATATTTTTCTCACTGACCTGGAATCTCTAAATTGTAGTCTTATCAAAGATCTCCAAAACTTAATATTTCAATGATATTTTGTTCAAAACTGACTGCCCATTTCCAAAGCCACCTTAACATCTGGGGTTTTTATTTGGCAACAATATATTCCCAGGCACCAAAAATCCGCTGATATAGTTTGACTCTGTGTCCCCACCCAAATCTCAAGTCGATTGTGATCCTCAGTGTTGGAGGAGGGACCTGGTAGGTGATTCACAGAGGCAGACTTCCCCCTTGCTGTTCTCCTGACAGTAAATGAGTTCTCAGAAAATCTGGTGGTTTAAAGTGTATGCACTTCCTCTTTCACTCTCTCTCTCCTGCCGGCCATGAGAAGACATTCCTGCTTCCCCTTCACCTTTCTGCCATGATTGAAAGTTTCCTGAGGCCTCCTTAGACCTGCCTCCTGTACAGCCTGTGAACTGTGTGTCAACTAAACCTCTTTTCTTCATAAATCACCAAGTCTCAAGGTAGTTCTTGATAGAAGTGTGAGAACAGACTAATACATCTGCATTAATTGTTCATTGACAGCTAAAATGTGTCCCCAAAACTTAGCAGTTGGAAACAATAAGCACTGATTACCTCATGGTTTCTATGCATCAGATATCCAGGAGCAGCTTAGCTCTGAGTTTAGAGTCTCCCATGAGGTTACAACCAGGCTTCCAGAGCTACAGTAATCTCAAGGCTCAACTAATGTCAAACTTCTGCAGCCAACCTCACTCAAGAGGTTGCTGGTACCTCTTGTTCCTTGATGACTGTTGGCCAGAAGCTCAGGTTCTTCATCCCAAAGGTCTCTTCACAGGGTTGTTTAAATTTGGCCACTTCCTGCTGAGTGAAAGACCTAATGTAGGTGGAGAAAAAGAGAGAGAGAGAATACAGCCTATTAAAACTGAACCTCAGGTATGAGGTATTCTCATTCCTACCATATGCTATTCATCACGTAGACCAAGCCAGGTAAAGTATGGGAGGAGACTACACAATGATGTGAATACCAGAGAATAGGATCATTGGGGGTTCCATGTGTGGCCGACTACCACAATTACTGGGAGTAAAATTCAAAAGATAGAGGTGAGACAATAAGAGTGTCTGGTATAAGGAATTATGCAAGAGAGGCAAGCTGAAGGTTACCTTTTGAATGGTTTGCAACAGCTTACTCAAATGTGATATGTGTTGCCTCTATAACTGAAAGACCCAGTACGTTTTAAATCGCTTAATTGCAGTACAAGTTGCCCTAAGTTGTCATTGCTTTGGAGAGGATATCTCAACATTCTGCAGAGCACAAAATCAGGAGAATTATTTTCTGATGTTAAGAATATTTGTATCTTTACAGGATTTATTTAAGATATAATCTCTGATACATCAGTTTCTCACTAAGAAATTTAGGACACTTGCCCAGTGTCTTAAGGCTACCTTAAATATCTGTAGTTCTCTGACAGTAAATTGTGCCAACATTTGGATGCCCTGAATTTTTATTATCTTTTTGCAAGCTCTCCCAGGCATTCAGAAGATCCCAGTTCTTGTAATCACCACCACTTCCATGACAGTTTTGTGAAACCGCCACCTCAGTCCTCCAGGCATTTGATTCAGTGAGCACTTCACTGTAATCATGCACAAAGGATTATTTAGTCAGCCATGTTACTATACACCATGGATTACTGAATACAATTTCTGTTTTAAAGATGCTTAGCCCTATCTTCACAGTCAAGGATATGATTACATACCCATATTTGAAGGTCTAGTTCACAGAGCATTATTAACAAGAGTCTGAGTACATTAGAGAAAACCACAATCTTTTCTAGAGATTTCAAAACATAACATTTATTACAGAAAATTATTTTTACAATTGTTAAATGATTGATGAAAAGGCAAAAATCCCACAAAACCTTAATATACCACAGTAGTGGTTACCGCAGAAAATAACTATCATCCCTAAAGCTGAGGCATGCTGGGATTAATACAGTGTGGAAGGGTGTAGACAGATAACACAGATCCAGGAAAAAGAAATGTTAATTATCTTACATTGAGACATCTTTTACATTCCCTTACTAATTCTAATTGGTTTTGATAGATCTTTTTGGATTTGGATGTTCATACAATTGTATTATCTTAAAATATGAAAGTGTTATTCTATCTTCACTAATATTCTTTTCTTTTTTTCTTGTCTTACTCAATTGTCTAGGACAACGTTTCCACAGAAGTGGAAATAATGAACACTCTTCCCTTGAGTTGAAATTTAAAAGAAAGTGTCTATTATTTCCTTTTTTTGTTTGGTTTTGTTTTTTGGAGACAGAGTCTCATTCTGTCTCCAAGCTGGAGTGCAGTGGTGCAATCTCAGCTCACTGCAACCTCCAACTCCCTGGTTCAAGCGATTCTCCTGCCTCAGCCTCCTGAGTGGCTGGTATTACAAGCACATGCCACCACGCCAGGCTAATTTTTGTATTTTTAGTAGAATCGGGGTTTTGCCATGTTGGCCAGGATGGTCTCGATCTCCTGACCTTGTGATCTGCCCACCTCAGCCTCCCGAATTGCTGGGATTACAGGCAGGAACCACCACACCCGGCTGATTATTTTAACTTAATTGTGATATTTACCTATAGATTTGGTAGGTAACAATTAAGACGTTTCTATTTCTATTTTTTCTGGGAGCTTCTGTTTTCTTCTGTTTTGTTTTATTAAGAACAGGTGCGTGAAGGTTAGTTTCATGCATCAATTAACTGGGCCACGGGGTGCCCAGACATTCAGTCAAACATTATTATGGATGTTTTTATAAGGGTGTTTTGGGATGAGATTAACAATTAAATCAGAAGCCTAAGTAAAGCAGATTGCCCTTGGTAATGCGAATGGGAAGCGTCCATCAGTATATGCCTGAGTCTAACAAAAGGCTAATTCTCTCCCAAGCAAAGGCAGATTCCTTCCTCTTTCTGCCTTTGAACTGGGACATTAGGTGTTTGCCTATAGACTGGAACTGGAACATCGCTCTTCCTGGATCTCAAAACTGCTGACCTTCTGACTGGAAATACACCCCTGGCCCTCTGGTTCTTGGGCCTTCCGAATTAGACTAGAATTTCATCATTGGCTGCCCTGGGATCCAGCGTGCTGATTTACCCTGAAGTTCTCAGTATCTGTCCGCCTTTATAATCGCATGAGCTAATTCTTTAAAGTAAATAAATACCTTCAAATGGAGAGAGATAGATATAGGTAAGCAGATATTTATTCCCTTGGTTCCATTTCTCTGGAAAATTTTGACTAATACAAGATATAAATTTTAATAAATATCTTTACTATATAAATTGAAATAAATATATGCTTTTCTCCCTTATTTTGCTAATATGGTAGATTCACTGATGAATTTTAAATGACATATCCACTTTAAATTCCTAGAATAATATACAACTTGCTTTATATATTGTTGAAATTTATGCGAAAACTTTGTTATTAGTATTGTCGTATTCTATATTCTGTTCATAAGTTGTTACCTAAAATCGCCAAGAATTACCTCCAAAAATTTTCCTGAACTTTGGTTCTCTCACATCCACAGGTTCAGGCTTGTTTTTATTTACTCTCCCTAGGATTTTTTCCTGGTGCTTAAACTGCATGACAAGTTTCAGGGCGAAACTTTTACCAACATGGGTGTTCTTGAGCTTAAATATTTTATGTATCTAGAATGCCATAAGCAGGAAATACTATTGAATCAAATATTTATCCTTTTCTTAATGTAATTTCTTAATTTATCCTTTTCTTAATTTATTTTCTTATTATCCTTTTCTTAATTTCTTATTTATTAGAAATTAAATTTCTAATACAATCTTTGATGCCGTCTTCATTTAGTCAACATAATATGAAAGTTGACATTTACATAAAATGGTCCAGATATAATTTTTATTGTTGTTAATCCACTAAGAAGTGAGCATTAAACTATAGAACTTCCTTTAGTATTGTGCATATGCTCAGCAAATGTCCTGCCGCAGCCCTCCACGGGAAAAAAGTCACATTTATACCTATTGGATTCAAAGGTTTAAAAGAAGAGCAGCATACAAATGTATTTGTAGAAAAAAATAGCCCATAGCTATCCCTTAATATGACCATTAGCGAGCTTACATTATCTAAAATGCATTTATCTTCACAGTTAACATGTTTACTTTCAGATTCAAAGTACAATTTGATAATGTTGGGGGAAAATTGCATTATATTTGTGTAAACTGCCCATTTAATGAACATTTATCAAAATAAAAAAAATCACGTCTTAAAGGGATTTGCAACTCTTCTTTTTTTCTTTTATTTTTATTTTCTACTAAAAGAAACCTACCAAATTACTGCTTACATAACTTCAAAATCATATTTAAAAATAATATATTCTAAGTTTATCCTCAAAACCTTATTGAATATACTAAATATTCTGCAGTGCATACTCAAACTTTCTAAATCCTTTTTCGTGTTCCTTAACATCTTTATTAAACTATACACACATGCATACACACACACACACACACACAGATTTTAAAATACTCGACTAGAGTGTTTAATTATGACTCATTATTGACAGTTAAAACTTAAAGTAAATCCTCTGTTACTTTTGCTATGTTCTCTAAGTGTTGAGAATTTTGTTGTGTGTCCCTGCACAGTAAGTTACATAGACATGTCATTTGGTGTAAAGCATTACAGTAAAAAATTATTCAACTTTTTATTGAAAATAAAAATAAACCTTGAGGGGAAACAAGCAACTTTTAATAGGTTGGATTGGACCTACAACATATGGTTGTCTTCATATTCTGTGCTTGCAAGTCTTAATCATGATTGCCAAGACACAAGGAGAAAAAGTAAGTTCTTATACCTAATCTCAACCAGCCATTTGGTTGAGGCAGTCAAATTATTTCAATTATTTGAAAACTTCTCTAAAACCAGTTACAGCCATGGGTTATCTGTTTTCTGCAATAAAGTTATCTGGCATTATCAAGGAAGAATGTGTTTAAAGATGTAAATGTTTCAGTCGATTTTTAACCCAGTTTTTCATTTCTCCCTGTACCCATCACTGTTGACTTGTAACTTTGCAGCTGTACAAGAAGTAGATAACTTTCTCAACTCTTGCTTTGGGGCTTGGACATGTGATTTTCTCTGACTCATAAAATGTTAACAGGTGAGACCCAAGCAGGAACTTGAAGTATGCTTTTATTATTGGAATACTCTATCGTGGCTCTGCTTTCAACAAAGACTATTAGCCAAATGTTCCAAAGAAGATGACATACATACAGGTCTGTAGATCCAAAGATAGCTGATCAAGTTACCCTATTCTTGACACCCAAGTGGCCCAACTGATATCAACAGAGCTACCCCAGTCAAGTCACTTATTCGAAAGGATTACTTACTGTTGGATATCACTGACTTTATGAATATTTATTTTCATCAATAAATAACTAATAATATATGTGTATTATCTCAATATCATTATCCTGGTTGTTATATTGTACTATCACAGGGGGAAACTGGTTAAAAGATAATTGGAATTCCTCTATATTATTTCTTACAAAGGAAAATGAATAGAAAATTAGCTCAATTAAATTTTTAATAAATAAATAACATGCACAATCATATTGGCATAAATGGCAACACTAGGGTGATGGGCATTTATTGGCAAAAATATTTATCATTTTCTTATTATATTGCATAAAGAAAAATATAATTTATAATACCAAGTATAATTTAACTATACCAGATTTTGGACTTTGTAAGGAAGATAATTTTCTTATTTATTTTTGTTTGTCTGCAAATCTTCTAATGCCAAAATTGCCCATGTAGAATCAATTGCAATTATTTTTAGATAGTGTTTTATACTGAAGAGCTCTTATAGTAATTTTGTTATCAGGTAAACTTCCTCATTGTAAACTACTATTCTTCAGATCATCTCAAAAATTTTTACATTTTGCCATATTTGAATTGAACTGAAATTTGACCTAGGCAATCACACATAAACGTATACTAACACAAAAGCTTTTGTATTACAATATTCTGCATAAACAATTTAGTTTAAATGATCTGAGATTTCATACTTACAATATTTATAACTTTGAAGTTATTTTACTAACAATATTTATAACTTTGAAGTTATTTTACTAAACATCAGTGTGAATAGATATTGGACTGTCGGAGGGTTATCACAATTTCATGCAATGACTGGTTATTAAACAACTGCACTGTTACTCTCAAGGATAAATTATTAATATTTCTAGCATTATATTTTATGACATAATAATTTGGTAATGACTAACTTTCTGACTGTCTCTTTTACATCCTTGTTCCTGAGGCTATAGATCAAGGGGTTCAGCATGGGAATGACCACTGTGTAAAAGACAGAGGCCACCTTGACCATGAGCCATGAACTTTTGGAGTTGGGAACACAGTAGAGAAAAAGAATAGTCCCATGGAAAATGGTAATGGCGGTCAGGTGGGAGGCACACGTGGAGAACGCTTTCTGGCGCCCCCCAGTGGAAGGCATCTTCATGACAGTGATTAAAATGAAAGCATAGGAAGTGAGAATGATCACCAGGCTGCTTATTTCATTGAATGTGGCAGAAACTAAAATAACCTTCTGGCTCACATAGGGGTCAGAACAGGACACAGCAACAATGGCAGCGTGCTCACAGAGAAAGTTATTGATGAAATTAGTCCTACAAAAAGATAGAGTCAACAGAAAGTATGTGTATGTTAGGGAACAAACTAAACTCCAAGAGTATGATGCAGCCACTAACAAGGAGCAAAGCCTCCGGGACATTGCAACCGTGTACAGCAGAGGATTACACACGGCCACAAATCTGTCATAGGCCATCGCTGCCAGCATGAATGTTTCTGTCACCACAAATATGCAGGCAAAGAAGAATTGCATGATGCATCCTGTGAAGCAGATGGTTCTGTCTTCCACAACCAAGTTCTCCAGCAATTTGGGTGTAACTGTGGTGGAATAACAGAAATCAACAAAGGACAAGTGGCTGAGGAAAAAGTACATTGGGGTGTGGAGTTTGGGGTTGATCCTGATGACCATGATCATGCCCAGGTTCCCCAGCACAGTGACTGTGTAGATGGTCAGGAACACCAGGAACAGGGGCAGCTGAAGGTCTGGATATTCTGAGAAGCCCAAGAGGATGAAGGTGACTGCAGCAGTCTGATTTTTTTGAATCCTATGAAAAAGAAAATAAGAAAGTTGATCCAGAGAAGTAGACACCAATATGTGCAATAAGAAACAGAAAGGAAGAAATATTGAGAGACTTAGTGGGTCTTTATTAAGAGTGTTACTGAAAATACTAGGTTTCCACTGTTACGTTATTTCAAAAGGTAGAGTACTTATATAAAAATCACAAGGTGAATAGGACTATTTTGTGAATGGAATAATAAAAAACAAAATTAAGACAGGAATAACAACAAAATGGGGTGTACCTTCCTATATTTCAGATAAGACTCACCATCATCATAGACATCAGGCTTCATGAGAAGGGCCACTCTAAGTTTGCATGAATCTGAGATAAGTGCAAATATTTCTGTTGGAGGAAATATAGACTTTTCTACAGTTTCATTTCTGCCTTATCGCTAAAGCTATGAGATAGTTAACTTACAACTCTTAACAAATTGTAAAATGTTAACATTCCTGTAAAGTGGTAAATTTAACGTTTTATTGGTGGTTTTATTTTTAACACCCTTCTCATTCCTTGTAATCCAATACTTTCAACACATTCTGGAGCTGTGTTGCACTAATATGCTAATCTTTCTCATGCATGTTGAACTAAACTTGAAAAATGTTTAATGTTATTTTTAATGATGTATTATATCACTTATGAGAAGGTTATTGCAACAAAATATGTGATGTATGTTTCTGCAGTGATAAATAGTTGAAGCAATGGTAAATGAAAAGTTCTTTATTTTCTGAGGTGGCAAATTTCAGAAGATAGGTAGGTGATAGACAACAATAAACATAAAAGTACTGAATAGTGCAAATAAATATTAGTTTTTAGGAAAAATACATTCCATCCCTTTGATTTAAGTTTAAAGCTTTGCCAAGGATAAGTGTCAGGGGGACCCATCTCAAATAGGACATCTTAATATTCAATGAATCTGCCTTGGTGCCACTAGGCATTTCCTCAATAATAAAATGTGATAATATATTCATGATATGAAATTTAAATCAGTAGAATGGAAGCAGAAAGATTGCTAATGATTGTAATGGTTACAAGACATGCTATGAAGCGTATTAGATATTCAGTTTTATATTTTTAGAATTATAGCTAATTAGTGTGGTTTCAAAAACCTTGAATAGTTATTGAAATGAGGCTTATATAGCACAGCTATCAACATGTGGACACATTTGTGAATACAATGCAGAGAATCATTTTCCTGAACCCACACAATGGAAGTACTGTAGAATTTCATTTGTGGCTTTACTCTAAGTCATAACTATATATTCCCAATTCTCCTTTATGTTTTTCCATTACACAATAGCTTTCTCTAGTTCCCACAAGCTTGTACCTGTAGGAAAGATATCTTCCAAAAGGAGCAATTACTCAGCAATTTCCCTGAAACAATTATTTATAAAAATCTTAACACTATAAAACTAGATTGTGACTGTATTCCACAGTCACGCTCCTCAATGTGAAATATCCTTTGCAACATTGCAAGAATAATTTTCTGTAATCAATTTAACCTGAGAGTCAATGACTTTAACAATCCCTAATGCTTTTTACTGATGAATGCATGAAAACTACATTGTGCAGTCTGGATTTTCCCAAACTGCTTAGATCTAGATATTCAATCTCATTACCACTAACACATTCTTAAAGTCATGGTAGATGTATCAGGTTGTCATAGAGCACATGCTCATTTACATAAAGTGTGCTATCTATTATCACCTTTATAATGCTTTATTTTACCTTTTACTGTTATAAAGATTACTCATTGTTTCTTCTTCTCTGTATACATTGCAAACACTAGTGTTTATAACTCAAAATTACCATAAGTCATATCCTGTCATTTACAGATTTGGTTATTAGTCTCACTTATCTCCTCAGAAAGTATAGGAAGTTTAAAGATAAGGCTAATTTTGTTTTATTCTTCTTTATTTGCCAAAGTATTGATTTCATTGCTGGGTACATGGTGGGAGCCTGATGAGAAAATCAGAATTTATATCATTTGAAAGAGAGAAGGAATTGGGATATAACAACAAAAGTCCTCTGCTCGTTGAACTAAGTGGATTGGGGAGGACTTTGACCTACATGTGTGTTTGTCTCATACTAAGATTACCAGAACTTAGTCTTTTTCTTCTAAAATAAAATTTAAATATCTAAATCAACTCACCTAAATACAGAGGCATTTGAGTGATTCATTTACTGAAGGATCTTTTGCTGAAATTAATGAACTCCAATAATGCTCCTGCTTAGTATTTAATTAATAGAAACAAACCTGAAAACAACAGTAGGAGTGTCGCGAGTATATTTTCTTGAAGATTTTAAATGTTACCTTTTTCCCCAACCTATTAAGAAAACTCATAGATAGCAGAGATAAGGTCACATCTAGAAACTAAGTCCTAGCACCAAACTGTGTCACAAATATATGCCCCCAAGACCTTGGGGACCTCAAGACTAGAGAATATCACTGAAGTATTGCCTTGGAGCCTACAGTTTGTGCAATTAGATATAACACTGTCCCGTGTGATATCTTGTTTGTATAGTGCTTTTCTAAAGCCCTTGATATTTGCCTTACCAACTTCACTTAATTAATCTTAATACTGAATTTTGACTTTATATAAGTATAAAATACAGAAATGTGAAAGGGAAACATCAGCTGTAAAGCAATAGTCTAGACATGGATATTATTACCTCATGAGGAATTTATTTTCTCTTTTTATGAAGGTACATTTATGTTATTATATGTCCAAATACAGAGCTGCCTAAATAATGCTACATCATTTATTTATCATTTGTTAGCAATATAAACTTCATTTGGTAGCCACACCATTGTTTTTATTTAATAGAAAACAATTTGTGTTGGCCTTTTAAAAATATGGCTAAATGATCTTCAGATGTTTATGTTGACTATTGGATCTGAAAAAAACTGGGTTATATGTTTCTAAAAATAAACCAGTTTATGGAAAATGCCACTTTATGGAGAAGATGATGTATTCATTAATTTTGGCAATCTATCTAGCATGTTTTTTAAAGAATAAAAGCTTCTCACTAGTGCAAAGTCCAAAATGCATTCCTAAACATTGGGCATCTCTGCTACATGTAGTAATGCAAGGGCCCGTGTTCCTTTCTACTCATATTTCACCACCGTCATGGTGCGTCCGAGGTTATGGTTGTGTCTTGCATGTGAGGAAAAGGGAATTATGCAACAACCTTTTAATGTGTTTTCAGAGAAAAGCTCATTTCATTGCAGAGGACCTCATATAGCACATAGGGAAATCAAGGGCAAAAGAGCTGATGGTGTCTCAGACACGATACAACTAAGGAACTACAGATAGAAAAGCAATAGGAATCTGTTCATTGAAGATATTCGCCTGTGGTTTCCTTTTCTTGTAGTATCTTTGCCTGTCTTTGTTATCAACATAAAGCCAGTTCCATAAAATGAGTCTCAAAGTGTTCTCACTTCTTTAATGTTTGGAATGTTTTTAGAAATATTAGTGTTTGTACTTTTTATATGTTTGGTAGAATTCACAAGTGAAACCGTCTTGTCCCGCATTTTCTTTCTTGGGAGGTTTTTGATTACTGATTCAATCTTGTTATTAGTTTTTTATCTGTTCAGAGTTTCTATTTCTTCATGATTCAGTCATTGTAGGTTGTATATTTCTAAAAATTTACTTATTTCTTGTAAGTCATCCAATTTGTAGGCATGCAATTGTTCATAGTAGTCAATTTTGGTCCTTCTTAATTTCTAAGGCATCGGTAGGTTAGATGCAATGTTTCCTCTTTCATTTCTGATTATATTTGAGTCTCCTTTTTTCTTGGTCCACCTATTATTTGGCCAATTATGCTTACATTTTTAAAAATCCTGAGTTTTTATTGATTTATTCTATTGTTTTTTTATATTATTTATTTCTGTTCTAACATTTATTATTCCCATCTTTCTGTTAACTTTATGCTTCACATCCCATGTTCATGGATTAGAAAACTTATTGTTGTTAAAATATTCATTCTACTCAAATATATGTAATGATTTAATGCAATGTCAATTAAAATCACATAGATTTGGACTTATTTTCTATTATCACAAAACAGAATAGAAACTAAAATTTTTGTAAACATACAAAAGATCAAAACAGCTAAAGTAAACAAGAAATAAAAAAGAAAAATGCTGGAGGCATCACTCTTCCTGATTTCAAAATACATTACAAAATCGCAATAAATAAAATAGTATTGTACTGGCATATAAACAGACACATAGACCATTGGGCAGAATAGAAAGCCCAGACATAACCCACACACATACAGACATCTAACCTTTAACAAGTGTACCAAGAATACATAATGGGAAAAAGGATAGTCTCTTCAACAAATCCTGTTAGGAAAACTGGATATCCACATGCAAAAGAATGAAGTCAGACCCGCTTCTGACATGATACACAAAAGTCAACTCAAAATAGATTAAAAATTAAATTTAGGGTCGTTAACTGTAAAAGAGAATATAGCGGAAAATCTTCCTGACTGGTTTTGTCCATTATTTCCTGAACATGGCGACAAAAACACGAACAATAAAAGTGAAAATAGATCAGTGGAACTGTATCAAACTGAAAAGTTGCACAGCAAAAGAAACAATCAACAGAGTGAAAAGGCAACCTATGAAATGGAAGAAAATATTTGCTAATCATATGTTTTATAAGAAGTTAATATGTGAAATATATAAGGAACTCCTACAATTCAACAGCACAAGGGAAATACCCAATTAAAACAGGTATAGGACTTAAATAGACATTTCTTCATTATGGACATACAGATGGCCAACATGTACATGAAAAGACGATGAAATCACTATTCATCTGGGAATTACAAGACAAAACCATAATGAGATATCACCTCATACCTTTTAGTATGGCTATGATGAAACATAATAATAATAATTAGTGTTGCAAGGATGTGGAGATATAGGACGCTTGTCCATTGTTGATGGGCACATAAAGTGGTGCAGCCACCATGGGAAACATATCAACGTTCCTTAAAATATTAAAACTAGAATTAGTATACAACCCAGCAATCTCACTTTTGGGTATATAACCAAAAGAACTGAAATCCAGATCTTGAAGAGATATCTACACTACCATGCTCACTCCAGCATTATTCACAATACCCAAAATATGGAAACAATCTAAACATCCATTGACAGATGAATGGAGACCAAAAAATATGGCATATACATAAAATGGAATATTATTCAGCCTTAAAAAGAAAGGAATCCTGCTATATGTGACAACAGAAATAAACCTGGAGGGCCTTATGCCAAATTAGATAAATGAGCAACAGAAGTACAAATATGTTCTTGATAATGACAGGAGACAGAGAAATTCACCCTTGTTGAGCTGAATGAGGGCTCAAGGTACTGTGCCCAGGCTTTCCCTCTTTTGTAGTGACACCTAACATGACTTTCCAATTGTGCATTTGCTATGTACTCAGCACTGTAATAGGCATTTTAGAAACTATAAAATTATAAAATGTTGGCCTTGACTTCCAAACTTTTTCTTCTAAGAATTATTCTGGGGAATAATGCATGTGACTGCAAATTATACAATAAAGCATACAATTCTTATTACATACTAAAACTAAAGTTTGTGCACATAAAAAGAAGAAGAATATTGTGATCAAAAGAATAAAAGTATTTCCTAGAAATATAGGCCAATTAATAATAATAAATATGGTGAAAGATAATGAATCAAATATTCCTAGTTAATGGAACTAAGTGATTATCATAGCAGTTAGACTTACACATGGGTTTGCCTCCTGCAGAGATTATTGGAACACACTATTTTCCTTCTAAAGGTATATAAAGTAAGAATTGAATAACTCACTTAAGTGCAGAAGGAATTGACTTACTCATTTACTGACGCTTCTTTTGCGAAGATTAATAGACTCCAGGGAAGTGCCCGAGGAGAATCCAAATTAAATAAAAAAAATAAGCAAATCACAATAAAAGTGACAGGAGTCTATACTAGATTTCAATAAATGTTTTAAGAAAATAACTTTTTCCCCTAATTTTTTCAAAATAATCTCAGTGATAACAGAGAGGAAAGGAGACTAAAAGGCTAAATTCTAACACCAAACTGTGTCACACATATATATGCCACAAAGGCCTTAGGGATGTTAACCCTAGAGAATATAATTGAAGTATTCCCTAGGAGGCCACAAATGTGATATCCTGGTTGCATGTAATTTCTTGTAATGACTGCTGAATAATTTCATTATAAACTTTAATCCCATGATCTTTTTTTAAATATGTTGAACCAGACAATATATTTTGACTTTAACATACCTGAAAAATACAAAAATGCAAAAAAGAAAAAAATCAGCTATTGGGCAACAATCCAGAGATAACTACTGTCAATTGTTTTTGTATTTCTGGTTTTCTCACCACTATGTGGGTATATATGTATTTCTGTGTATCTGAAACAAAGCTTATACAGTAAGTATCATAGCTATATTGTGTATTATCCTTTTTCATATAAAATTGTAGTGTGAGCTTCATTTTAGGTAACAAATAGCTATTAAACTTATATAAATACCTGTTCATCTTTTCTTTAAGTAAATGTGATATGCATTATTTTTTAATTTATTAAATATGTATGTTGGTGATTCTTGAAATTAATTGTGAATTTCATTACAAATAGAGATGCAAAAATTCCTCAACAGAATACCACAAACTGTATTCAACAGCACGTAAAAAGACATTAAAATTAAACACATGGCAAGTGGAATTTATTCCTGGAATGTAATATAGTACAGTTTGCCACATTAAAATTCATCAGTGTAATACACCACATTAACAGCATAAATGAAAAAATACATGATCTTCTCAATTGATGTAGAAAAGCAATTTGACAAAAGTCCACACTCTTTCATAATAAAACCACTAAAAAAAACTAAGAATAGAGAAAATATCTTCAGCAAGTTAAAGGCCAGTGATACATGAAAAGCCTACAGTTAATACTCAAAGATGGAAAGGCTAAAAGATTTTCCTCAGAGATAAAGAATAAGACAAAGATGTTTGCTTTCACTGCTTTCATTCAAAATAGTGTTAAAGGTTCTAGCCAGAGCAATTAGGCGACACAGGTTTTCAAAATGCATCCAAATATGACAGAAAAAAAAATCAGAATTTTAGCAGATGACTTTTTTTTTTTTTGACAGAGTTTCACTCTTGTTGCCCAGGCTGGAGTGCAAAGGCACGATCTCAGCTCACTGCAACCTCTACCTCTTAGTTCAAGAGATTCTCCTGCCTCAGTCTTCTGAATAGCTGGGAATAGCTGAGATTACAGGTGCCCACAACCACACCTGGCTCATGTTTTATATTTTTAGGAAAAATGGGGTTTTACCATGTTGGCTAGGCTGGTCTTGAACTCCTGACTTCAGGTGAACACATTTACCCAACATAACTCTTAGAACTAATAAACAAATCCAACAATATTCCAGGATACAAATTAAACATACAAAAATCTGTTGCATTTCTTTACTTTCAAAGAACAAGTCCCCTCCAAAAAAAAAAAAAAAAGAAACAATTTGTTTGCATTTGCATAGAAAAGAATGAAATACTTAGGAATAAACTTAGCCAAACAGACAAAAGAATAATACACTGAAAAGTATAAAATGTTGCTGACAGAAATTAAAGAGGACATAAATAAATGAAAAGTTATCTTATGTTCATAGATTTGAAGCCTTTATGTGGTAAGGTGTCAGTACTCCCCATAGCAATTACAAATCCATTGAAAACTCTATGAAAATCTCAATGACATTGTTTGCATCGAAAAAAATCCATTCTAAAATCTAGACAGAATTACATGAGACTCTAAATAGCCATAACACTCTTGTAAAAGGAAAACAAAGTTGGAGGTTTCACACTTTCTGATTTCATACTTACCAAAAAGCTATAGTAATCAAAGCAGTGAAGTACTGGTATAAAGAAAGATATAGAGACTAATAGAATAGAAGAGACAACCCAGAAGTAAACATACATATATGTGGTCAAATGTATTACACATGAGTGCCAAGATCATGCAATAGGAAGAGGGCAGTCTTTTTAACAGATGGTATTCAGAAAACTAGCCTCCTGCAAGATAATCAATTTGAACCCTTGTCTTACACAATGAACAAAAAATTAACTTAAAATGAATCAAAGACCTAGGTAAGAGCCAAAACTATAGAACTCTTAGGAGATACATGAGTCAGTTCTCACATTGCTATAAAGACATACCTGAGAATGGGTAATTTAGAAAGAAAAGTGGTTAAATTGGCTCATGGTTCTGCAAGCTGCACAGGAAGCATGATGATGGTATCTTCTTGGCTTCTGAGAAGGTCTCAGGAAACTTACAATTATGGCGAAAGGCGAAGAGCAAGCGGGCACATCTCACACGGCTGGAGCAAGAGGATGAGATGGGAGAGGAGGGTGCTACACACTTTTAGATAACCAGATCTCATGAGACCTCATTCACTCACTGTCACAAGAACAGCACCAAGAGGATGATGCTAAACCATTCATGAAAAACTGCCCCCAGGATTCAATCACCTACCACCAGGTCCCACCTCCAACACTGGAGGTTACGTGAGATTTTGAGGGGACACGGATCCAAACCTTGTCACGAGAAGACCTAGAAGAAAAACTTCATGACATTGAATTTGTTAATTATTTATTGTATATGACGCCAAAAGTATTTACATATATATACACACACACACACATATATATACATATAATGGACTTCATCAAAATTAAAAACTTCAAACAACACTCCCAACAGAGTAAGAGAGCAGCCCAAAATATAAGAGAAAATCTTTTGAAATTCCATTTCTAAGTGATTAATATACAGAATATATACTTTTAAAACTCCTATAATCAACAAAACAAAAACAGCTCAATTCAAAAGTAGGCAAAGAACTTAAATACGCATGTCTTCAAAGAAGCTACAAACATGCCAAAAAGCATGTGGAAATATCCCCATCACTAATAATTAGGGAT